GGGAGTTTAATTGAGTTTAAAAGTAAGTGCAGAGCACATGGCTTAGAATTATCCCACCAAGGGGCGAAGAAGCCGGCACATTGAAATACCAAATCCCATCAGCCGCTTGTTGACTTGGGGACATTAACTCTGGCACTTCCAGCTTCCAGCCAAGGATTTGGAAAAGTCCTTTGGGAACAGAGATACAAGTAGTGGTTGCTAGAAGTAGCCTGGAGCTCATTGCAAAGGTGGGGTCCTAGGGTTGGGTGGGGGACACTGACCACCCTATGTGGGGGGCGAGAGCTACAGCAGAGTGTCAGCAACAACTCCGACCTTTGGGTTGAGCCACTGAGGGGAGAAACATGGGAAAACACTCCATGCCAGACCCGGTCTATGAGAATGCCGATGAGGTACGGGGCCTGCCCTCACGGAGCCTGCAGTCTAGCCCCAAAGCCATCAGTGAGGACTCTCAAAGGTGTATCAGAGAAGGAGGCGACCAGCCTGTAAACATGGGAGACCACGAAGTGGGGGGTGTGTGTGTGTGTGTGTGTGTTCATGCACAATAATTTTGGTCCTAAGTGGTGTCCAGGCCAGGTGTCCTTCAGAGCACCACTCTCTGATGGAAACATATTGCAAGCCATTTGTTCCATGTAATTTCAAATTTTCTAGTACCTATATTCAAGAAAATAAAAAGAAACAAGGTAAGTTTATTTTATTTTATTTTTTAAAGAGAGAGTGAGAGAGAATTTTTTTAATATTTATTTATTTTTTTTAGTTTTCGGCAGACACAACATCATTGTTTTGTATGTGGTGCTGAGGATCGAACCCAGGCCGCCCACATGCCAGGCGAGTGGGCTACCTCTTGAGCCACATCCCCAGCCCATCGTTTTAATACTATATTTTATTTAACCCAACATCTCCATAACGTTATGATTTCAACATGTCGGCAACGCTGAGCCTTTGACACCTGCTGAGTATTTTATAAAATCTCAAATCAGACTCACCACATTGCAGGCAACTGTAGGCCCACGTCTAGTGGCTGCCATATTGGAAAGCACAGCTCTCAAGTTCATTCCAAAAGCTAACCCAGGCTTAAGGATGATCAGGGATTCTGATTCAGACTTTGACATGCTTATTTCAGAAGAGAGATGTCAATGACGTGGAGCTTAAGAAAGACACAGGTGTGCTAACTCGGGTCTGCAGTGCCTAGCTTGCTTCTCAGGGATCCTACGGAAGAGTCAGAGGGGTGACTGTAGAGGGCAAAGGAGAGAAGAGCCAAGAGGGGAAACCATTCCTCCTACTCCCTCATCCAGCAGAGCAGGTCCCCTTCCACGTGGCAGGCTCTGGGCTTCCCACCATGCCCCCTTCCTTGTGGACTGGGCCAGCCTCTCACAGAGGTCAAAATGCCCGATGTCCATTTGTCCTTTGATCTTTCTGTATGGCCTGATCAGCTCCGTGGGTCACACAGCGAGTGACAATGGCAGAATTCTAACCCTGAGTTTTCCATCTTCACAGTCTTCCCTAGCACACCACAGTGCCTCCAGAAAGTTCCGCACACGTGTAGCTCTACTCTCAGTGAACAGAATTACTAGGGCCCCCACGGTGTGACGGGGGTGAGGAAAGTGAAGGAGGGAGGTTAAAGCAGGCGGTGACGAGCACTGTGGGTGGGGGACACTGTCGGAGGATGTTAGAGAAACCCTCAGCTTGCCCGTTAGAGGCCATGAGAACACTCAGGACCCAGTGCCCACAGGACACGCTGAGGACTCCCCTTACTGTTCTGTGCTGGGCACTCACTCTGCTGTCCTCTCATTGCAAACAAATGCCATCTGCTTCCCAGGGCCAACGGTGACCCACAGACAGCAGGAGGACAGACTCGGGGGCCACTCGGATCTACACCCAAGGGATTTCCAAGGGCATAAATGTGATCAGCTACTTCAGGCTGGTGCCAGACCCTGACAGTCCACGGTGGCCTGTTTCTGTGTGACCAGAGACTGAGGGAGAGCTGCGTACCTCAAAAGCGGCAGCTGTTTCAGAAGGGAGGTGACCGGGGACCTAGGGATGTCATTAAAAAATTACCACAAATATAATCCAGAAATGTATGATCTCACTGTTCCAGAGGCCAGAGGTCAGAAATGAGGGCGTTGGCAGGGCCATGCTCCCCCCTGAGGCTCTCAGGAAGGTCCTCGCGGCCTCTTCCACCTGATGGTGACTCCTGTTGTCCCTTGGCTTGGGACAGCATCTCTAACCTTGCCCGTCCTCCCACGGTACTCTTCCAGGCTGACTCTAGAGCTCTGTGCCTCCAACCTCCCTTTCCTCCTGTTATGGTCTAAAATAAGCAAGATAATTTTATAAGAGATAAATCACAGATTATTACTAAGTCATATTGATAGGGCACAGGCTATAGATTAATAGGCATAAATCAATAAATAGAAAATAATGAAAATAAAAGTTAAGGTCAAGATACTTAAACATGTTTTAAGATAGAAATAACAATACAGTAGGATAAACACATAGCCTTATAAAGTACAAAGATATAAGACTTGAGGATATTAGTGATTGGTATAGATAATACAAGTTGTAAGTATGTGTGTGGGGGGCAAAGGTTAACTATAGTCATAGGCAAATGTTAAGATGATATAGGTTAAGTTACAAGATAAAAATAATTAAGACATAGTCATATTAAGGCAAAAACTGTTGCAGGCCAAAATGAGTAAGCCTGGCTAAAGGGCTTCCATTGTTCTTCCTGTAGGAGCCATTTCTGGAAAATCAGCGTCTGAGCTGGCTTCCCCCAAAGAGTTGTGTTTTCTGTACTTTGTACCCTGCAGATGTACTAAAACCCAAACCATAACCCACCTTAGGGGGTCTTTAGTTCTGCTTAGGGGCTCTAAAGTTCCACTAACTGCTGTTTTAGCTTCTGTGACTGGCTTAGCTCGCATGCTAAGAACTTCCCAAGGCTTGTGGTTTTTATCCTTAACTGATGAAGGTGTGAACAGGGAAATTGCTGTTCTCCCACAGAGATTCAGTCTCTACATGTGGGTGACAGTCCCTGGCCAATAAAGCTCTCTTTGATTTAAATTCAGACTTAGAGTGTTTTCTGAAGTGGCTCCTCATGACACTCCCATTTATAAAGATGCCCGTCATTGAATTTAGGGCCCATTCGGCATCCAGGATGATCCCATCTAAAAATCCTTAACCAAATCTGCAAAGACCCTACTTTCAAAAAAGGTCACATTCACCAGTACTGAGGTTAGGGTTGGGATGTGTCTTTTGGGGGCCGTTTATTCAATTCACTAAGATGCACTGATTCATGTTTACAACAGGTTAAGAGTTCTAGCAAAAACATTCCCCCTATTTTCAATATATCCTTGAGCCTGATTGTAGGCCATACAGATTTATAGTCAAAAAAGAAAAACGTAGGCAATTTCTCAGATCGTCTTTTGGGATCCATGAAATGTGGCAGATACAGAAGACAAGCTCAAGGCCGGAAGAAAGAGATGGAAACAGCCCAGAGTGGAGAAACAGACCCTAGTTAAGTAAGAAGAAAATAATCAGAGGAAACCTTAAAAGTTTCCCATGGATAATAAGTGAAAAGAAAAATGACCCAGAAATGCCTGTGGACCATGGCACAGTAGGGAACAAAGGCCTGAGAATGTAACATGGAGAAAGAGGAAAGTCACAGTCAAGGAAAATCCCACGCCAAGTCCACAGCTATAAAATAAAAACCTACAGACTTGAGTATGGGAACTTGAAAAAGGATCTTTATGTTGCTTCAGGAATTATTTCTTCTCCATCCAGTTGCATTGGGTGGAATCTCTCACATGGCAACTGCTGCTCAGAGCCAAGACATGATTCCACCAATTATTGGCCAACGAACCTTTAGACTTTGACTTCTTGGGCTCACTTCCAAATATTTCCCAAGCGTACGTTATGTTCCAGTAGAGGTCAAAGTCTTTGGGACCATCTTACAGACTTAGGTCACTTATGTGAGACCAAACAAGTCACAGATTATTGGTCATCGAATTAAAGGCTACCTTTGGGTCAGTCCTTGACCACTGATCCACTCACCTGAGGCCAGGGGAAGTCAGACTGAGGATCTCATGGTCTGTGGATCTGTCCTTTCCAGGGTCATATTGGACAAACAAAAGGATACACAGGTGCACTACAGGTGTGCAAAGGATCAATGGAGTGTCCACAGTATAAATTAGGGGTGGCTGAAGGTGTGTACACAGAAGATGAACTTGCAAAGTCTGGGCTACGTTCAGCAGTGGGACTGCACAGGGAGGGGAGTGAGTGGGGATGGGATGGCAATCAGGAGTTCTGAATGGAGCATACGCTCCGCCCCCAGTGGGGGCCACAAGTATGTCACAGCTAAGACAACTATGTCACAGCTAAGACAAATGGACCGTGTGATGATCATGCATCAGTTTCATCAGGATCTCATGTTATTCTCAAGAAACCAAATGAAAAAGAGAAACAGCAAAACTCGAGCCATATCATCTCATCCCAGGGGTGGAGGGATGGCTCCCAACTGATCTTTAACTGGAGACCCGGTATCATGACTGAGTTGGCAAATTAGCAAGTATGCCAGCACTTCATTTATTAATTGGTATGTTCCATTTTAATTAAAATCATCCTAGCTAATTACTCATCTCGATGTGTTCAATGTCAGCTGAATAGGCCGGAGGACATGATTAAGGCAAAAATAAACTCTGCACCCAGTGCACTGGATTCACCCCCTTACTTTCCCTCCACCTGAGGCGATGACAGGGAAGTGGGAACTCAACCCTCCCTTCTGCCTCATCTCGGAATGAGTGGAAGGAGGAGAAAGAGCATGGGCTTTGAAACTCATAATTTGGGTTCTGATGCTGGCTCTGCCATTTACAATCTGGGTGACCATGAGCAAATAGTCAACCTCTCTGACCTTCTAGTTGTCCCATCTAAAAATAGGAACAGCAATAGTCCTCACTACAGAGAACTGGTATGAGGGTAAATGGAATAAAGGGAAGGACTGGGTACAGAACTGCAGCTCAATACACTTTAATCCCAGGCTTGGCACCACCACCCACTCACTAGGGTGGCATCTCCTCGTTCACGAGGCTCAATTCAGACACTGCCTCCTCCCAGATGTTTTCCCTGAGTCCCAGATCTGAGCCAGGGTCCCTCTTCTGTGGGCTTATCTTACCATACGACTGTATTTATTAGCTCTCGTATTTACTTCTAAGCCCAGCAGGTGCACACACCCTTCAGTGAGCAATTGTGGTTACGACTGAAATGAAAACAGTATTTTTCTTTCTGTGTATCTTTTTAAATGGCTTCCAAGTTAGTAGGAGATAAACATTTATTACGTTATTTGGATCTAACTACATAATAAACAAAATTGTTAGGTGTCTCTTTTGACTTCGATGTGCCTTGGAAAAACTACCAAGATGCCAAGGGCTCTGTGACCTGAGAAAGTTCTAGAACCCCCTAGTGGGAAAATGATGCAGCTGTGGTAGAGTGACGATAATGCCATAATTAAGAGGTAAGAGGAATCCGTCCTTCTTATTTCCCAGGCACCGTCTGAGCCCCTGGGAGTGCTTTAAGTGAAAGGATCCTGTGTTACTCATTGAATCCCCCGAGAGGCCAGAACAGAGAGTTCATTCCTACAAGTTACCAAAGAGGAAATGGAGGTCTACAGAGGAGGGATAACTTGCTCAAGGTCACAGAATGGGAGATGCTGGAGCTAGTTTTCACACCTAAGCATCCTGATTCCAGGTCAGGGCTCTCTTTACCAACACTTCAGGGCTGCTGAGAATCTGGATCCCAGAATCCACTCACAGAAGTGAGGATTAGAAGGAGAAGATGCTTTGGGTTGTCTGCTAGCCCACACTGACCCTCGCCCTTGAAAGGCCTCCCAGGTTACTGGAAACCTCGCTGGTGACCCCGCAGTAAGCCACAGGGAGTCTTTTCCAAGGAACTGGGGACTGCGGCACTGAGTTCACTGAGTTTCTGTGGCTTGCCTGTCTGATCAGGCAATTCTAACAGACATTGGCAGGATGCAAAAAGGAGGTCTGTGACCTCTACTTTTTGAGGTAGCAGCTGCATTGGCTCCCACTGCTGTCCTTCTTGGAGTTGATTTGTTCAGGGGCTTTGTAGAGTCCCTGAGATCTGCACCTTGCCAGTAACTTCCCTCATTTGATCCAGATTTGTTGCTTAATTAGAGCCCTGAACATAGATGTCATAAAATACACTGCTAAAAAGATGATCCCTCCACTGCTAAGTATCCAGCACTGAAAACTGGGCGTCCACAAATGTCGCTCAGACTGCAGACTTCAGCTGGGCCATCTCCTCTCAGAAGCCAGGCGGATCTGTGCGCTTCATGTAAATAAACAGTTCGGAAGGGTGGCTTTCTGTATTGCCAGAGAGGTCGGCCATCTACCCGGCAATTATGCCACTGTCAGACTGTAAATACACATTTGCAAATGCCTCTGTAATTGTTCAGAAACAGTTGGGGCTGCGCATGGAGGGCTAGTTACAGAATGTTAATGGGGTGGCTACCCAACATCTGCTTTCAAGGCTGCCGCTAGATTTATGCCGTTGAAACATTTATGGGTATAGAGCAGGGGAATGGGTGTTTGCCTCTGCCAACTTTCAGAAAATAAAAACTCAGCAGCTGTGGACAGTTGCATGGCAGATTGATGGTATCGCAGTTTCAGCAAGAGCAAAGTCTTACTTAAAAATGCTTTGGCTTCCTAAAAATTAAGTAACACTCAGCAAGGCGTGAGACTGCCACCCCAGAGCTGTGGTTGTGCGGCTTTAGTCGTCGGCTTCTCTGACCTCACACAACACGGTCAGTGTCATGATTAAGCAAAGGCATTCCTGCTGACTCCAAAGCATGGTTCACGGAGATGCCCACAGAAGTGGTGGATCTCAAGGCAGTCCGTTCAGAATGTTTGTCTTTTGACTTTCACTTTGGGGCTTGTGTTTGGAACCAGGTTTTCTGCCCTCATCATCATGAGATATAGATGGTTCCCTCTCCCAATCAGTAGGTGTACTGGCTTCTCGAGTTCTGGATTTCAACTGTTTTAGCTAACATCTGCAAAACCCCCAGGCCCGCGGAGGGCACTGTGTATATACGCCACAGAACCTACGTACTGGAATGCCAAGTGCTATTTGTAACAAACCCCTTAAGCTTTGGAAAATGATCATTTAGCCAATATTCAAGTGTTACAGAATATTACTTAGGGTTACAGAAAGCATGTGAAAAAGGTACCCCAGATTCCAATGGCAGAGTGATGATAGAATTTTATTCTTTCCTCCTGGAACACTTCGCAAGCATCAGTGCGGGTGGGAGGATCACTTCACTCTAGAGTCATTTGAAGATCTGAGCTCTGACCATCTTTTGGTTCTGCCACTGCCCCTGGAATTTTCCTATCTATACAGTGAAGACTGGGTTGCAGAGAAGCCCATAGAACAGCTCATGGAAGAGACAGAGTGGACCTAGGGAAACTGGCTTGTCTCTTAAGCTGGAGACAACCTCAAGGTCAACGCCCACCTCCATTATACTGGCCTCAATGAAATCCCAGAGGCCCACTTCATGGCAGGAATCCTGGGGAATGCTGCTGCCCCTGGGGCACCTGCCATGCAGGAAAGGGAGGGCAGGTGCTGACAGCCACCAAGCTTCAGCCACATCTAACAACAGACTAAAAAGGACACTGCCCTACATATAAGATAAATGCCACATAGTCACATGTTATCAAGAGCTTATTATCTGCCAGATCCTCTCTCTTAAGCATTTAAGAAAGCATTAGCATATTGTGGGGGAAATCAAATGACTCTGTAAATACACTTTCCACTCTTGAAAGACTTCTGCTCTTCCAGAGAGATATCAATAGAAATCAACTAGGAAAAAAGGCAAGGTTTTTACTTTCATATGCAGGAAAGTTGTTCACATCTATCTGATCCCTATACCTGGTGTTTTCTGATGCTCTGTGCATAAGCTCACCCCGGAGACCTTTGGCTAGTTTTTGGATTTTGATCTAGTAAGTCACAGCTGGCTTGTAGCATATTTACGAAGGAAGGACTTTTCACAAGATGCTATGACATCATCGAGATTAAATTCTATCTCAAAGTTAGGTTTTTCCCCCAAAATAATTAAGGCAACCAATAGAGCAAGTTTTGCAGTCATGCCCCTGATTGTGTAAGTCAACCCATCTTCAGGATTTGTGTACTCAAAGCAATGAAAAACAAAACCATGTCCAAAGTGAGTGACGTAATTCTGGGAGTGGACCTTCGGATACAGGAAGTAGTCCAGCGGCACCAGGAACACATCTTTGACTTCATCAGGATTAGGCTGGGCCTGGAAGTTGTGGTCTATAAAACCCACTACTGGGGTTACCAATGTATCTTTCTAAAAGCAGAAAATAAAATACATCAATTAAGAAGGGCAGTGATATTGTTTCAAATGTCAAACTCTTTGCCACTTCTATGTTAGGTAAGCCAAGGGCATCAATTACAAAGGTGGGTAGTGAAGGGGGAAGAATTTGCTCTAGAAGCAAACTGACAGTCTTTGTTCATCTCAATTTCTCAATGGAGTTATTTTGGAAATACCCTTAAGACTCCACATAGTCCCTCACTTAATGGGAGATGTCTGCCGGACCTGAGGAGGCAACTGTGAGATGACTCTGAAAACATTATGTGTCATGAACATAAACTGGTATGAAAACTGGTGCCTTCTGTTTAGAATAGTGTAAAAACGACACTTACAAAAACATCCCTGTGGCTTAGGGATGTGTGTGAGTGTATCTGCATCATAAATTCCTCTCAGCAGGAAAAGATGCATGAACGAAGCAGAAGTATTACTTGCAACAGCCTTGGTCTCTAGAGTTGCTGGTCTTCATTCAGTTCTTGGATATTTACATTAGATGAATTGTGGTTATAGCCATATGCTAGAATACTATGAAGCAAAGAATGTGTAAATACCTTTCCCTCACAGTAAAGACTAAGGTATTCTCTCTCATCAACAGAAAAGTGACATATTAGTTATGGCATATTTCCATTTATGGGGAATTATATAAGATATATAATTATATATATGATATATAATTATATATAAGATATATAATTATATATATGATATATAATTATGTATATAAGATATATAATTATATATCTCATATAAGATATAATTTTATATATAATGACATATAAATTACTTTTTCATAACATACATATTTATATTATGGTGGGGGGATTTCTATTTATATCCACAAGTGCTTGCAAATGAATGAGTTCTGTTTGGTGAAAGATGCTCCGACCTGGGAATCTTGAGGCCAGGACTAAGTTGGGTATAGGAGCTGGTAAGAGGGCCAGAGGGCCACAGCCTGCCTGGGAGAGGGAGGGGAGGGGGAAACCAGCAGCACCCACTCCGGTTGTGACATCCCAAGATATCCCCAGCCATCCCCAAATGTCCCTAGGATGGGAGGAGATTGCTCCAGATCACTCCAGTTTAAAAACCATTGAGCCAGGTGTAGTGGTCCACACTTGTAATCCCAGCTGCTTGGGAGACTGCAGCAGAAGGAACTCAAGTTCAAAGCCAGGCAGAGCAATTTAGTGAGACCCTAAAGAACTTGGTAAGACCTTGTCTCAAAATAAAAAATAAAAAATAGCTGGGATGTGGCTCAGTGGCTAAGCACCCTTGGGTTCAATCCCTGGTACTAAAAAACAAAATCAAACAAACAAAAACCCACCAAAGCATATTATGCTCATAAGTGACCGATAAATGGGGTTTCTTGTGATACAGCTTAGAGTTAGAAAGGGCCAAAACACACAACAACATGCCCCAGCACGTTCACACCCAACACCTTTCTTTACAGCCTTTGTTCATCCCAATTTCTCAATGGAGACATTTTGGAAATACTCTGAAGACTCCACATAGTCCTGTGCTGGTCTGGGTCTGCAATGAGTCCCAGAGGCCCGGGTGGAAGGCTTGGGCCTCAGCCACTGGTGCTACCAGGAGGTGGCTGAAGCTTTAAGGGGAAGTTAGGTCATTGGGGGCATCGAAGGGGTTGCAGCTGTCTGTCTCTTCCACCTTCCTCTGTTCACTCCCCTGCTGCCAGGAAGCAAGTACCTGTCCAACATTTGCACCCTGCCTTGATGTCCCACCTTGCCACAGGCCCAAAGAAAGGTCCTCCACCGAGACCTCCAGAATGGGAGCCCCCACAAACCTTTCACCCGTAAACCCATCGTCTCCCAAGAAGTGAACACTGCCCCACCAACCATGCCTGTGAACCCAGTAGCTCCCGAGGGCCTTGAAGTGAAGCTGCTCTCACGTGGGGACCTCTTAAACATTATGTCTCAATGTGTCAACAGTGTTCTGAAATAAATCCCTAAAATGTGCTAGGGGATTTGCAAAAATCAACTGAAAAAGAGTACCCAGTAGAAAACACTATTGAAAAAAGAAGGAAGGAAGGAAGGAAGGAAGGAAGGAAGGAAGGAAGGGAGGGAGGGTGGGTGACACAACTGGAGTAAATTACACATTTCTTATCTAATCCCATGTATACTGCCGTTCTCGGTCTCCGAGCGTGTGCCCAGACACACACAGACACACACACACACACACACACACACACACACACACTTACACACACACGACCGTGCATGCAGTTATTGGGCAGCCAGGAGCTTCCTCCAGTCTAACCTCTTCTGAGTGACAACTTTAACCCTCCTGTTTTCAAATGGGCTTAATTAAGAGAAAGTCTCAGAATCACTGACCTTCACAACACTACTCCACCCAGACTTGAAGCCAAATGGAAAACAGAAACCAAACTAAGCCACTGGCTTTTTAATGGTTAGGCAGAATGGGATCATTCTTTCGAAATAAAAATATAACCTGGAAGCTCAATATATCAAATACAAAAAACCTTAAAGCTATGTCTGTTATCTTGGGGTGAGGGCACCTGACCGCTGCAGTGTCCTCCCCCAAACCAGGACCCCAGTTCAACCATGAGAAAAACCTCAGATGGTTTACAAAAATTCTTGACCAGTGCACCTCAAAAAAGTCATAAGTCTGAAAAATCATCATGGACCAGAGGACCAAAGAGACGTGAAAACCAAATCCAATGTGGTATCTCAGATGAGACCCTCCACAGACCAGAGACAGCAGGAGAAGCTAGCAAATGGCAAATGAAATGTGGACTGAGTTAGCCATCGTGTACTAACACTGACTCTTTAGTTGTGACAGATGGCCTACAGTGATGTAAGATGAATTCCTTTTGGTTTTGTCTATGCTGTGTTAGCTTATACTATCAAGGAGATCCTGAGTCACACAAAAATACAGTTACAAAGAGGAGTTTCCCACAACTTGCCAGCTCAGGGCTCTGCTCAATTGCAAAAACAAGTACCCATAGGGTAAAGGTAATGCCCTGGTTTCCTTGGGGATAATATTTGTTACATAGCACACTGGAGTATTTTTTTTAAAGCAAATTCTCCAAATAAATGTATCCTGGAACAAAGTAAATATGAACTGAATGCTAATGAAATAATTCTGAAGCATCCACAGCACCTGGTCTGAAACTCACTGATGAAGCTCAACCCTTTCACTTCTGGGGAGGGAAAGAAGGGTTGGCTTGGGGCCACTGGGCTCACAAATGACAAAGTCCACCCAAGAACCCAGGCTGTGAACTCTTGGGCAGCACTCTTTGGGGTCACACTTGGTGGAGTGAGTGTGGGATCCTGAGGCGGCAGATCCCCTGGGCACCCGGGAGGGGGACGAGAATCCTTACTTCAAACAGATAAGGCACCAGGCGGCTGATGACCTCCACTTGCTGAGGACGCAGCCCCACCTCCTCCTGCGCTTCCCGCAGAGCTGTGGCTATGTCATCCTGGTCCGTGGGATCCCTCTTTCCACCAGGGAAGCAAACTTCTCCAGGTGACCTTCTTAGCTAGGCATGGAGAGAACAGAGGTGACGTGTGGATCTCAGGGTGGCACCATTCCCTCACTCAGCAGATGCCTACCCAGCTTCTGCCCACCATCCCTAGCCGGGGGGCATTAGATGGTGAGCAAGAAAAAGCATGCAAAGTGTTTCTTTGAATCCTTAAACAAAGAAAAAGAAATTCTAAAGAATTCCCCTCACAGCTAATTTTTCTCTACCTGTTCCCAAAAGATACCACCTACACAAACAGATTGACGTTGATGGAGAAAGGCTGAAAGGAAGGATAATTTTATAAAGGGCAAAATTACTCACGGAGCACTTTGCCAAGTCCTTTAAGGGGCTCACCGCGTGTCAGGCAACAAGGACTTTCCTCCCTGGATCCTCAGCTCTATAAACCACTCTTTTTTAAAAGTATTTTGAATAAGGTCACATAATAAAAAATTAAAGCATTTAAAAGGGAACAGCTCCTGGGTGCGTGGAGCATGCCTGTAATCTCAGAGGCTCAAGAGGCTGAGACAGGAGGATCGTGAGTTCAAAGCCAGCCTCAGCAAAAGAGAGGCGCTAAGCAACTCAGTGAGACCCTGTCTCTAAAATAAAATACAAGATAGGGCTGGGGATGTGGCTCAGTAGTTGAGTGCCCCTGAGTTAGATCCCTGGTTCCCCACCCCGCAAAAAAGGGAATAGCTCGGTGATAGTTAATGTATTGCCAGTGTTGTACAACCACCCGCTATCTAATTTCAGAATATTGTCATCACCCCCAAAAGAAATCCACTACCTGTTAAGAGGTGATCACCTCTCACCCCAACACCCACCAACTGTCTGTCTCTGGGTCTCTCCAGTTGGGATGTTCTATGTGAATGGAGTCCCATGTGGCTTTTTTGCCTCTCCCTTGGCGCAACGACTATGCACATGTGTTTCACTCTGTTCACGCATCTATTCATGGACGGACACACAGGGGAACTAGGGCTCAAAGAGGTTCCACAACCTGACAAGGTTCACACAACGAGCTGGAATGTAAATCAAGGTTTAATTCTAGCACCTGGGTTCTTAATTAGCACACCTTCAATTCATCAAGAGCTTATTAGGATACAGAAAATACGGTCACTGGAGTCATTAACAGAAACCTGTGGCAGCATCTCTGTGTATCTTGTAAAAGAACAGGGGTCCCTCCTGGCCCTCTATTGCCCCTTCCACCCCATCCCCAATTCCATTCCTTCTCCACCTCAGGAGAATTTGAGAAGAGAGTATGTCTCCATCTGTGGCATCCTAAATATATCCCTCTTTCTCATCTGTCTCAAATGATTTCTCTCAAGTCCTGAGCAGGGAGAGAGGCACAATCCTTCCACCCTTCTCGCTTCTGGAGGATCCAAATTCCCAGCAAACTGGCCCTCATTTCCCTTATGCCCACCCCATGCAGTGCCCAGTGTCCTCTCCACTGAACTGTCGACGAGACCTCAGCTCAGCAAGACTCCTGGCCTCATCTCAACTGTCTGCCCCTCCCAGAACCGTGTGATGGTGACGTGGTTGAAGTATGTGCCACAGGGTCCCGCCTGTGCTAGCGACTTCACCATGAGCAACCCTAAAGTCTCTCCAGGGTTAGGAGCTCCGCCCAGGGCTCATGGTGGCATCCTTAGTGCTGGGGCTGATGAGGCTGCATAACACGACGCCTGCTGTGGTCTGAATGCCTGGGTCCCCTGAAGATTCATGTGTTGAAATTAAATCTACTTCAGTCTGACCGTAGGCGTTATCTGGCTGCCTGGGCAAGAGATGCCCTGTGAGGCCTTCATTGCCGGAGCTTCCCGGTTCCCTGGAGTCACATAACTGTGATCCCAGGAGACGACTCCTGGAGGATGGGGAAGAGGCCTCCGATCATCCGTCCACTTGACTTGGATGTGTGCCCTCCCACTCGCCCTGCAGCTTGGAGCAGTTCCTACCCCAGGATTCACCCCTAAAAGGAGACTGCAAACTGCCCAGTGTGTCGTGGGGAAGGGAAAAGGGGGCAGCCGAGTGGGCACAGCTCTGGCATGCCAGAAGACCTCCGGGATGGCTGTTGCCCTCTGTGTTTTCCTTTTCTCCTTTTGGGGTCCATCTTGTCCACCAGACTCCTCTCAGAGCCTGGGGCAACGATGCCGCTGCTTCAGGGCTTCAGGGCTCTGCTCTGCATTATCCCCTTCCCCCACCTCCCTCCCACCTTCCTTCCCAGCTCTCTGGGGCTCGAAACAGGCAAGAGAAAATTCAAGAACAACACAGAGACTGAAGTCTTAGGAAACTGGGCTGAAACTTTAGTCGGCTTCTGAGTAGAATTTCATAAGGTTTTGTTTAATAAAAGTTTTATAGTATTACAGAAGAAGAGATTGAGAGCTTCTGTTTTGAGAGTCCTTTTTAGCAAAGCCAGTTTGTGAAGAGTCAGCTTTAGAAAGGCATCTGGAATTTCAAAACAGCATAAAATTTTCTTAAGGGTAGAGTTAGCACAGATCCCAAAAGGTCTTTACTCCCTATTAATTGGAATAGGCATACAAAGCCACTTGAGTTGAGCTGGTATGCTCTGAGATCTTTTTGAGATGCTTTCAACATAAACTTAAAATCAGGTCCACATAAAAAACAAAATGAATTCTGGAGCTGAAGCAGCCTGATCTTATTTGCCAATTTGCCTGCTCACTCACCACAGCGACCTCATTGTTCTAATGGTCTTGAGAAGGGGTGTCGGGACAGCATTACTTTATCCCGACAAATGTTATGATATAAACCTTTAATTTTAGTTTAGAATACAGATTTTAGTGTGCCCCTGTCACCAGCTGCCTTGGAGTTAAATATAATGACCGTAAATCGCTTTTTTCAAGGTGCTGTAACCAGAGGTCTATTTCTTGTGCACTCTGAGACCTCTTGGGTGGGTGGAGTGAGGTCACATGGCAGGACCACGCCCATCAGCCTTCCCTTCCCTGCTCTCAGAAGGAGCCCCGATGACAGCATGTGTGAGGAGGTGGCTATGGGAGCCACACCTGTGGTGCTCCCAGTTTATCAGCAGGAAGGACTTGAAAATGTGGGTTTCTTTCTTTCTTTTTTTTTTAAGGCTTGCCCTGGGCTCCCATACAAAGGCAGAACTCCTCTGAATGCAACAGGAGACCTACCAGCTTGAGGGTTTGGTCTTACCTAGATCTTCTACGTTATTGTCTGTCTGGTAATTCAAACAATAGATTTAAGTGCCAGGCCTGTGCTTACCGGCAGACCTGGGAACAGATCCCCGTGAAGCCCCTCACTCAGGAACCTCAGGATTTTTACTGCTGTGTGTTTGTGTCATTAATGTCTGGCCCAGACCAGAAAGAATCCACATGTGTCTCCTTCCAAGTCCACAGGTGTGCAGTAGACAACCTCAGCTCTACTTTCTTTTCTAACAAGATACTTTCCATCATTCTGTTTAAAAAGCCCAGTTATATCATGGTCCATTTCTTTTTGTACTTGGATAATCTTGAAATTTCCATTTCCCCAATTCTTCCTCCCCCAACAGCAAGGCAGGATGACAGCACCCAGGGATGCAGGGGTAAGCCAGAAACCCTATTCCCAAACCAATCTTCCTTTCAAGTGAAATCATTTATCTTAAATTTCAGGCCATGTCTGCCACTTGACACAATGACAGCTGTAACTATGGAATTCTTGCCAAGTGCCAGAGCTGTTTTAGGTGCTTTGCAATTGTTACCCCGTGAAACCCTCACAGCAGCCCCTCGAAGGAGGTATTAATATGTTGTCCTCATTCTACAGTGAAGAGAGAGAAGCACAGAGAGGGTAAGGAACTAGGACAAAGTCATACCACGGGCCAGGAGAGAGCTTACCCTCCATGTGGGCAGCTAGGTGGCTTTAGGGCCGCGGCTGCTAACTTGCACGTTCCAATATTTCACATCATCCCTGGGGTGAGCTCAGCCTAAAGCAGTGGTTCTTGGCAGGGGTAATTTTATCCCTCCCCAACATCCCTTCCAGGGTGGCAGGCAAGGTCTAGAGGCAATTGTGGCTACCACAGAAGTGTGTGTGCTACTGGCATCAAGAGAGCAGAGGTCAAGGATGATGCCTGACATCCCACGGTGCATAGGACAGGTCCCCAACAGAGTCATCTGGCCCACACTGTCAATGCACCACGACTAGGATAACCCTAGTCAAAAATATTTTAAATTAAATGCTGGCTAAATTCCTTATTTTTCTTTCCGAAACCTCCCCCTCCCCCAAGCCCCATCCTGTAGCTTCTTATACCCTTCCAACATCGTGATTTTGAAAGTTCATTGGAGAATCAAGGCCTCAAACTGTGCACAAGTCACAAAACTTGATGCTGTTTTCAGACATCCTGAGATATTGGCAACAGCCTCTTGTTCACTTACCTTCTCCGACCGGCGGGTGAAGAGCAGGTGAAGTTTTCCTTCTTTAACCAATAATGGCAAAAGGATGGAGTATTTGTGAAACGATAAGTGATCATATTTGGTCCCAACATCAAGCTTTTTCAAACGGGCTTTCGCATCATCTATCAAATTGTTTCTGAAATGAAAACAAACAAAACATTTCAGTAACCAGAGTTATGGCAGAAATTTTTCAGTCCTGCCTATATTTCTCCTTTTATGTGCCTTGGAGTTTACCATTTCTGAGTCTCAGGGGATTTGTCAACAACGTGGCAGAAATACTAGTATTTCAATAGCATGATTTTTGGTAAGATTGAATGAAGCAAAAAACCACTAAGCACAGAGTTAAGTACATGAGTTTACTTTGAAAAATCTAAAATTAAAGAATGGTAAAATGTTTTTTTCAATAATGCAGAAGTTGAACTTTGAAATCCATAATTATATTCAGACAAGATAAGCTCACTAAGAAGGTCATTATAAGGTTAGATCATTTTCTGTTTCCTGGCCCTTATGTCAAGGTACCAGACCCTATGTCTTATAACGGTGCCTCTCAACTGAGAAGCTATAGAATCACCTAGAAGGCTGCTCACAACACAGTCTGCTGGGTCTACTCCTACTGATAACTCAGTAACTTTGGAGTGAGGCCTGAGAATTAGCATTTTAATAAACTCCCAAGAAATGGTGTTGCAGATGCTGCTGCAGAATAGGGGAACGTATGCTGAGAACCATCCCCTGACAATGAACTCGTGTCTGGATAAAAGCACAAATGGTGCCCTTTTCATGGGGATTTGTTTTGGTCCTTTTGACAAGTCCTTTTTATGTATTGGGTTGAATACTGTTCCCCCCAAATTCATATGCACTCAGAATATTACTTTATTCAGAAATAAGATCTTTGCCGATATAACTAGCAAAGGGTCTTATGATACAATCCCCCTGGTGACTTTACGCCTGTAAGGAAGAGGAGACAACATGGAGAGATAGGTGCACACAGGGAAGTCCTGTGAAGATGGACACAGGGACTGGAAATATGCCATTACAAGCCAAGGTATGCCAGAAGCCCCCAGGTGCTGGAAAAGGCAAGGAGGTACGCCCCAGAGATTTCAGAGGGAGTGTGGCTCTGTCAACACCTTGATTTTGGACTTCTAGACATCAGAACTAGAGAATAAATTGTTGTTTTAATCTACCTGGTTTGCTGTACTTTGTTATGGTAGCCCTAGAAAATGAACACACTGGTTTTAATTTTGTGTAGGAAGGCTGTATTACATAGTGAGTAAAATCAGATGTCTAAGTTAGCCAGAACTGGTTTAATAAGGGTACAGAAATAACCTCTCTAACCCTTGCTGTGATCTGTGACATGCTTGAGTGTACTTATGAGGATTAAGTGACATTCACATACTGAGGCTGGCACTCAGCTGCTGCTCTATGATTGGTAACCAATGTCATCATCATCAGAAAAAAAAGTTGTTTGCTTCTTTTTATGTGGCAGGGTGCTCACTAATGTGGTTGGGCAACACCATCGATTGAAAAAACGACCAACGTCCTCAAAACAATCACTGGCAAAGGACTTCAGAGTGTCCCCTGCAAATAGGACTCTGTCCAGAAAACGAAAGGGGACAGTACGGAGTGGGGAAGGACCTTTCCAAGGACAGCTCTTAAGAAGCCCCCAGAACTGACCAGTGGAATCAGTAGAGGTAAAAGACTGCAAAAACATGTCTGTCCACTGTAGGGCTGGCCCTTGGAATAATCACCAGGAAAGCACCAACAGCAGCTCTGGGCAGGGCTGGCAGCAGGAGCTCCCCACTCTTTTCTCACAGAATCCTCGCAGCAGCCCGGCAGGTGAGAACCTGATTGCGTCCAGGTTCAGCGACACTAGGGAATAGCCACTAGGTCACTAAGGGACTAGCCATCAGGGAACCTGAGGTCATCAGAGGACCTGAGGTCTAGTTGCAGAGACGCGGCTGGCAGAAGAGAGAAGCCGGCTGCGAAGGGGAAAGCGCTCTGTCCCCGCCGCCAGGAGCAAACCTGCGCCTGTGTGAATCACGCTGGCTGAGGCCTGTCAGCTCCTGGAGGGGAAGGTGGAGCGTCCTGGGGCTGTGCACTGCCCAGGTGCAAGGACAACGGCCAGCTAAAGGCCTGGGAGGCGCCCGGGACAATCGAGGAGGCCTGCGAGCGTAGCTAGGGTGACAAGGCCAGGAGCAGTTTACCTGCCGGTCTCCTGAAGCTGACAAGGCCGCGACATGGTCCTGAGAAGGTTTGTTTCCAGTTGGAGACTCCCCGGCAGGGATCCGCCCGAACCCGCATGCGCAGAGCGGCCTTGGCCTAGGCAGGCTCTGGGGGGCGGAGCTTAGCGGAAGAGGCGGG